CGCCGCCGCACGCCAAACGCACGCGCGCCCCAAGAGAAGCCGCCGCGCCGAGCCGGGGGCAGCCTCCGCGCCACAGCGCCCCTCGCGCGGCCCGGAGGGGAACTTCGCCGCGCCCCGGAGGCGTCCCTGGGAGCTCGCACGGGTCAGCCCAGACTCGCGCAGCTGGACCTGACCTGGGGCCTTCCCCGTTGCCCTCGCTCGCAGCCTCCAGCATTTAAGGGCCAGACGGAGCTCGAGATGCAATATGCACAGAGGATCTCTTCCAAGAGACAAACTGAGGACATAAAGGTATCCGGTTTCGTACCAATAGAGGAAAACCGGACTGTCCTCTGTGATGGCCACCCCAGCGCCAATGGTCCAGTCCCTTTGTGCACCTGGCTGAGCTGTCGGCTTCCACCATCTCTGGTGGCCTTTAATGACACGCTGGGTGAAGAAGAGCTGCCTCATGTTCATTTTAAACATGGTTTCATGTTGGGACCCCAAGGTCTTGTCTGGTGAGAGAGTCGATAATAACTCCCTACTGAGTTGCTCCTCACCATTTAGTGTTTTGTAAACCCTTCTCACGTTCCCCATCAAGTGTCTCGTCTCTAAACTGAACAGAGGCCTGGTGCCTAGTTTCTCGTATATGGAAGCCCCTCCGTACTGCTAATCATCCTTGCTGCCCTTCTCTGTCCCCTCTAGCTCTCCTGTATGTTTTGGAGGTGCAGGGAGGAGAACTGGGCGGACTTCAAGGTGTGGCTGCATCGTGGGTTTATAAATCCATGCAGCTGGGGGCTTTTCTTAAATGTAATATTTTAGTTTTTTTAAAAATAACACCCCCTTCCCCCAGAAATTCATAGATGAACTGGTAACGTAGGAGTGATGCTGTACCCATGATGGTTCAGAAATGATGAGAGGCAAGGCTTTCTTAGGGTAATCTGGTTTATTGGACCAGCTATGTAGTTGCGGTAGAAAAAAGATGTCATGGCATCAGTGACTCCAGGAGCAGGATGTGAATGCCTACTGGGGTCCAGGGAACACAGCATGTCCCCTCACTGACACATGCTTTTGCTGGTCCCCCATGCTGTAGCTGACAGCTCTCCAACTACGTTGTTGGTCCATTAAAAGATATCCTAAGAAATCCCCGCCTATTGCATAAATGAATTGTGCATTGAGTAAAAATGGTGGCTGTGGGGCCACAACCCTCCTCCCACGCAGAGTGAAGCTGTCTGACAGCTGATCAGTCAAAGCATTGTAAAGTGTGTATGATTTTAACCTCGGTCTATAGTCTCAATGTTCTGGTGGTTTTGGCCTTTTCTTCTCATTGCATCTTCAGAAGCTTGGGAAGAGAACAGCAGGAAAGCTTCTTGCCCATTGGCAGGAAAAGGTCAGGACTGAAATCAGCAGCCATTTCCAGCTAAGGCAATATTCATCTTGTTAAGCCACAGACCTTCAGGCTTATTTGTTTGCTTCCTCCTGATTCCACATATCCATCTATAAGCATCAGAGCCCTAGTGAAAAAGAATCTCAACCTGCACGCAAGTGCCACAGCCATGATGCCGACAGCTGGAAAGATACTATCTAGACACAGAAAGGGAAATACAATTCTGCCGAGGGTGTTCAGAAGTATCTAAGTGATTTGTATGCTTGCCTCAGTCCCACCATCTATGCTAGATATGTTGATACAGTGGCTGCAAATGGGAAGGCAAAATTGGGAGTAGTACCTTCTGACCTGTAAGTAGGGAGTGTCAGCATTGGATGCAATTAGCAGGGAGGCATATTTCATATATTCAGCAGATGCAGAGTCTGGCTAGGGCCAGACAGAGCCTGAGATGTAATATACACAAAGGATCTCTCCGGGGTGATCTTCTGGAATCTTGACTTGTCCACAACTCCAGTAGCTGAGCAATTTTCTCCTGGTCCTAGGAACACCTCAGTCCCAAACTCAAGCCTGGTAGGAGCTGAGGATCTGTAGGCATCAGCCTACCTTTTGGAGCGAAGGGCTTAATCTGGGGCAGGAGACTATGGGAGGGAATCTGATTTGGTATAAAAGTCCAAATCCAGCTTGGTAAGAAATTTAGAATGGGATCTTACTATTGTGTCTTGCTGTCCCTTCTGAAGTAGTCTGCCAGATCACTGTGTATTCCTAGCAGGTGAAGGCTTGTGAAGTTACCCCATGAAGGCAATACATTTTACAGCTTGGTTTCTGGCAAAATTCCTTTTGATTACACATTGTGGAGGTTGTGTCATGAGACATGCCTCAGATAGACAAGTGAGCTTTAAAGGGAAGTTAAAAGGTTGTAAAATATAGGGTGTTGGGTTGGTTTGTTTGGGGGGTTTTTTGTGGGGGAGAAGGCGGCTCAATATGAGTGACGCATGTACGTAGCTACTTCTTGTTCAATATAGCCCATCTATGCACAAGTTTATTTTAGTGTGAAGTCTAGCAACTTATTGCTTCAATCCGTGCCTGATGGGCACAGTCTGCAAAGAAGAGTGTCAGTATTATTCTGTGTGGATAGTGAGTCACTGATCAAAGTGTCCCAAATTGTTTGCATTGGCATTTACCATACCTCTTCACTTCCTGACTTTCAGAGGTTGGGTGTAATTGAAAGTGTTCTGGAAGAGAACAAGACACCATGTCAACCTTCACTTTGCGCTTACAATTCTTCTTTTTGGTGCAATAAGAAAGAATCAGCTGTAAATGGTCCTTAGTTGCTTTAGCTTGCTTTTAAGACAAAAACATGCAAAACATGCATATATGAGGAAAAGAGAAATTACTGCTCTGTCCATTTCTCTATTTCTCTCTTTTTTTTTTAAACTGTTTATTTAGGAAGTATAAGCAATTTTACAAATCATTAACATACAAGTACCAAAAATGCAATATTAACACATACAAAAATGGACTTCTTGTCTGAGAGATGACAGAGTCAAGTGTAATCTATTCAGCAAAGTATTAATAGGTCAGAGGATGAATCAGCCTAGCTCTTCCAGAGTATGGTACTGGCAGGGCTTTTCTTGAACAAAACAACATTTCTTTATTTTTTAACAAAACCCAAGTTTATTATATTGATTCATATAAAAATACTCAAATATAGTAGGTGAGTGGATTGAGTAATGCAGTAGATAAATGGTAACAATATAGTCAAGCATGTTTGTCCTCTGTCTGGCTGCCTATGTACTTGCGATTTCTTCATCCCCATAACAACAATCTCCCATATCATGTAGAACATTCCTCCAGTCTGGGGAATCATTTTTTTTTCCAAAGAGAAGCTATCCCTAAATTTTTAAACTACTAACACAAGACACAGTTTCTTCCTTAAGTGGACCCATTCTGCTTAGGAAGCTACAAGAGGGTTACCAAAAGATGATTTGGTTATAAATATCCAAAAAAACCTGTAATATTTGGTAATGGATTGCATCCTAATATTCTCTATGCACATATAGTAAGACGTATGCAATTATTAGTCACTTTTTCTTCTAAAATTTCTTCAACATCATTCCTTGCCACTCATTTTGTGTAGGAATAGCACTGTCAGAATTTTTTTTAAATCAAGATTGCTAGTCTCTTTCAGATCAAAGACTATAATCAAAGGTAAATTTGTCCAGCCACAACCTTTTTCCATCTTGGTATATTGACACTTCTTTGTCAGGAAAGCTGCCAGGAAATATTTAATAAATATACTTTGTCCAAAAGCCATTGCTTTGGAACAGATTAACATATTTAGCGATAAAAGTCAAAATGGAACTGGTCTACTCTTCCATTAGCTTTCAGTTGGACATTACAATTTTAAAATATCTAAGATTTGCCATTTTCTTTTGAAAGAAAGCTAAAGCCTCTTTGCAGGACAAACCACGCATATCTCTTAACTCTTCCAGTCTTTAAATCCATGTTATTTGGGTGAGGGTCTTGTTTATTTGCCTTTAGAGACCAACAGCGATGGAAAAGAACTTACTTCTATCTCTAGCTCTTTTCAAGCCAAGCAGGAAGCTTTTGCAAATATATGCAGGACATAACTGTAGTCAATGCAGTATTTACACTGACACAAATTTTTGTCTGAATATCTGGGATAAAGTTCTGGGAAGTTTATAACTGGCATTTAAAATTCAATAGTGTTTATTTCCAACCCCAAGTCATGTTTTCTTTAGGTTTCACATATCGTTTTCTATGCAGCTGTTTTCTCAGGCATTTACCTAAAATGTTTGGGTTAAATTAAAATGCTATATTCTCAGCATATGAAACTATTGTACGGTGAGTTTGTTCAGGTTCTTTTCCTGAAAAAAGAATTTTAATTTCTTCAGTCTCTGCATGAAGAGCTTCCCAGACAATGGACAGCATAGGATACAATGGGTGTTCCCACTAATTGCCCTGTTCAACTGTAGCAGGGAAAACCAGCCCCTTTATATGTTAACTACTCCAAAGAGCAAAAATTAACTTAGAGAAATGGCCAGTAGGGCCCATGTTAGATCATTTTTTGGATAAATATTTCTACTACGTTCTATCCTGTCCTGCTTTTCTGCATCAAGTGGTTATGAGAAATGGCTCTTCCTTGAGCTGGCATTTTGAAGAATCCCAAATGTTCAACAAATATCTGACATTTGTTTGCTTTTACTGAATCCAATGTCATCTAAATAGCCATCAAACTAATAGTCTGTTAACAGGGAGAGTATTTTTGCTAAGTTTTATGGGCCACATTTTTAATAGTATTTAAATACCTAGCTCCCACTGATTCTGATTGAGTTGGGTACCTTCCTAAACACTT